GGCCATGTGAGCATCGTGGACGGCTTTGGGCGTATGTGGATCCATGGAGGGACTCACGGCGCAACAGTTCCACCTGCAGACCAGATGGACTATATCGAGCTGGACCGGGGTGGGGAAGAAGACAGAGTGTTTTTTTGAGCGGCTGCAGTGCCTAAACCATGAAGCAATACATGTTACGTTTAATTAATGAGGGACGGCCAACTTTTTTGTGGCTTCTGGATTCTGTGGCGCTTGGCTTTTGGCTTCCGTGGCTTTCTAGCCTATGCGAAGGAAAGAAGGAGGGAAGGAAGGAAGGCAGGAAGGAAGCAAGGACGAGGGCTTCTGAGGCGTGTGGCTTTTGTGGCTTCTGTAGCTGTTAGTTTTCGGAGACTGTTGGCGTCCGTTTCGTGGCTTTGGTTGGCTTGGGTTTTTTCACTGTTGCACGGAACGCGATATACTGAAGATATTATTCCCAGCACCCAAGATCCTTTTCAGGTACTCGTAGCGAGAGTCACATTGGATGTAGTTGAACATTGAGAACAGTAGCGTTGTTTTGCAGACGCTTTGCATATCCCTTTAAGTTTTTGCTCTTTGGACCTTCCAGGTTTTTTTGGTTTGCTTTTTGCTATTAGGTTGGAGGCCATCGCTCTTAGGTTGGAGGCCCAGCTTTCAACATGGCTTCTGTCCTCACTGTTCTATCTATTTGTCTTTATATTTGTCTATCTATCTATCTGTCTATCTATTTATCTATCTATCTAAATCTATCTATCTATCTTTCTATCTATCTGTCTATCCATCGATCTATCGATCGATCTATCTATCTATCTAAATCTATCTATATCTATCTACATCTATCTATATCTAAATCTATCTCTCTACCTATCTCTATCTATCTCTATCTATCTCTATCTATCTATCTATCTATCTATCTACCCACAACGATTTGCAACTGCCACGAAATCTGCACTTCAAGGTCCACAAAGTACTGCACCTGCCACGAAATTTGCACTTCAAGGTCACCAAGGTGCTGCACTTGCCACGAAATCTGCACAAGGCCCACAAAGTACTGCACCTGCCACGAAATCTGCACCTCAAGGTCCACAAAGTGCTGCGCCTGCCACGAAATTTGCACTTCAAGGCCCGCACCTGCCACCAAATTTGCACTTCAGGGCCCGCACCTGCCACGAAATCTGCACTTCGAGGTCCACAAGGTGCTGCATTTGCCACGAAATCTGCACAAGGCCCACAAAGTACTGCGCCTGCCACGAAATCTGCACTTCAAGGCACAAAGTGCTGCGCCTGCCACCAAATTTGCACTTCAAGGCCCGCGCCTGCACGAAATCTGCATTTCGAGGTCCACAAAGTGCTGCACTTGCCACGAAGTCTGATCTTCAATGTCCACAAAGTACTGCACCTGCCACGAAAAACGAAAAACAAGAAAGTCACAAAAAGAGCAAACAACATCCCAAATTAAATCCGAGCCCATCAATGAGGTACACAGTGCAGACACCTCAACGCGCGCATGCTATTTGGGGCGTACCCACGTTTCAGGCTCGCTTTCCCAGCGATTTTGCCCTCCATGAACTGGGATTAACTTAAGCTTCGATTTCAAAAACAAAGAAGCACACACAAGTAGATTGTCTATATATTGTGCCCCAGATCCAGGGAAACCAGACAAAGTGAAGAGATGTGATGTTATTCACAAAGATGTGGGAAGCAACATGTTAAAAGACAGGCTGTAGCTCCACAATGCTGCAAATACTTTACGAAAAGCAATGACAACCCGCAAATAAATGCACGAAAACGATGGGTATAGTGACGGACTGAAACTTAGCGAACACTTAGAATGAGGGGGCAATTCTGAACTATGATATATAGCTGCGGACTGAAAGTTAGAATGCCGTTTTGGAAAATACCAACGTTGATTTTCACAATTGGGGAAGGCATTCTCCTGTCTAATGCAGGGGTCATACCCCAAAAATGTTCAATGTTTTGATATAGAATGCGGGTTCAAAAATCGCCAAAAACAAGAGGTAGAATGGGGTGGAACATGTTTGAAAAGTTCAAATTTGAGTAGGCAACTAGAATGTTTGCGTTCATCCAACTGCATTTTTCCATGTCTTTAGCCTTTAGCGCTTTGTTATTCTCTTTCCCTCCAGTCCCTTGCTATGCTTCTCTTGTCATGAGCCTCCTTGGTATATCTTTGTCTGGCGCGGGGCATTCTAACTGTACACGTTTCCTTGCTATGTTCTTTGCCCTGTCTCTCCGGAAAGCTCCCGGGCAAGGGCTCTACGTAAGATTTACTTCTTAGGTGGCTATATTCATGATATTCCAAACTGTTCCCCTCCATCCCGCAGTATGTGTTGCTTTCCATTTACCTTCCGTTCTTTCCCTTCTTTGACTTTTTTCTGGTCTGCCCTTTGCAACGTTCTTCCCTGTTTTGCCAGCTTGCAGTGCAGCTTGCACTAGTTGTATATTGAAAGACATACATTTTTGTACAATGAATCAGCGTTGCAAGCCATCATAAATTGCCCAGAAACACCTCATTAGGACGCATTCCAACTGTGTGTTCCATCCTTTCATCCATGACCATCCACCCTCATCCAACCAACCTTTATGAAGACCTGTAGGAGGCATTCCAACTGTGATTTGCCTGTTTTTCAATGTTTTTTAATGTTGTAGGCCACTGGGCACTGCCTAGAATCAGCCCAGAATCATCGCAGCATTCTAAGTGTAACAAAACAGCAGGCAATAAGCAAGTTTTCTCATGTTTTTCAAAAAAGATCCACTACGTGAGCATTCTAACTGCCTTTAGTACGGCATTCTATCTTACGCTGTGGAAATGTTGGAAAACTGCAGCATGTTCACCTTCCGTCCTCAGCTATACATATATATATATATATTTATTGTATTACATACATAATATCAAGCCTGTACAATATGTACAAAGTGCGTCCTGTGGTTGAACAGTTGCACATGAGTGTTTCTCCCACAGCGCTGGTTCCTTTTCCATGTTTTTCCATTGTTCCTGCCAGCAAACATGCCGTTTGCTGTCATGTTGCAACCCATATGTATATATATATATGTATACATATATATATATATATATGGTCCATAGTTGTCAAGTGATGAGTTGCGCAATCAGTGTGTCCCGCTAGCCCACATGCTGTGTGTTTTTGATCCAAGAGCGGCGTGGCAGGCAATGATTCCATGGAAAAATCGTTGGCATTCTTTTGCCATCCACCAATGGCAGCGCATTCCAACTGTGTAAGTGCTGGCGCTTAGCAGTGTCCCGTGCTGTCTTAAGGCTATTGTCCTTGTTGTGGGTAGTGGGCAGTCTAACTGTGTTTTCACATTCATACACTTAGAATGAGGCATTTTCGCGGTCCCAGGTGGCAAATTACGATCATCCACAAAGTCCAGAATTGCATTCTAAGTTTCGGTCCGTTACTATAATCGATGATGACAATGTAAAAATGACGAACACCAGTCAAAAATCAATGACAAACATGAAAGCATTGATGAAAACCACCAAAAGAATGATGAAACACGTGGAAGACCGCACGAATTCATCGAAAAAACCATTGAGAATGAGCAAAGCAGGGAAATTTGCATCCAAAATCCATGAACATCATGGAAAAATGATAGAAAACATGGAAAATGGATGGAAACCATTGAAAACTAAAGGATCTCTGTAAAACGAATAAGGATCAGGGAGAACCCATTCTGCACCTGCCAAGAACTCTGCACATGGAAGAAAAGCTCGCTCCAATCCCTTGCGCTTGTGACAAAACCAAAACAACAAATAAGAAAACACACGCACACACACAAAAAAATTACCAAAATGAATCCGATCCCTGAACCGATACGCTTGTTTTGGAGACTTGACGAGTGACTTTTGGAGGGAGTCTGGTACTGAGACTTGAGACATATAAGTTCTGGGGGAAGTCTCGTACGAAGCTTATTCTGGAGACTGTACGTAGGAGTTTTGGAGGACGTCTCGTGCAAAACGCTTGATTTGGAGACTTCACGCGTGCCACAAAAGTCCTATACACGAGTGTCCAGAGTGCCCCACAAGCCTGCCCAGAAGAGTGTCTCACAAGAGAGTGACTGACAAGAGTGACCGACAACCCACAAGAGAACTCACTACACAGAGTGTCCCACCCCACAAGGCTGTGCCACACGAGTGTCCTACAAGAGTGTCCCAAAAGAGTGTCCCACAAAAAGAGCGCCCCAAAAAAGAACGCCGTACAAGAGTGTCCTACAAGAGTGCTCACAAGAGTGTTCCACAAGACTTTGCCACAAGAGTGTCTTACAGGAGTGTCCCGCAAGAGTTTCCTACAACAGTGTCCCACAGAAGACTGTGCCACGAGAGTGCCCCAGAGTCTGCCACCAGAGTGCCCCACAAGAGAGTGCTCTACCAGGGTGCCGGACAGGGGTCGCAAGACTGTGCCACAAGAGTGTCCCACAAGACTGTTCCACAAGAGTGTCTGCCCCACGAGAGACTGTGCCACGCAAGACTATGCCTTAAGAGTGCCCCACAAGAGTGTCCCGCAAGGGTGTCCAACAAGAGTTTCCTGCAAGAAGGTTCCAGAAGATTGTTTCGTGCAAGGCCCTTAAGGGTGTCCTACAAGAGTATCCCACAAGAGCGTCCCACAAGAGAGTGTTCTACAAAAGTTTCCCAAAAGAGTGTCATTATCAACTACTATTCAGCCGTTCGTTTTCGAGTGATTTTTTGCTTTCGGGTTCGTGGGCTGCATCTTGTTTCTTGTTGTTGGTCGTAACAACAAGTAACCTGTTGGGACTGCTTTCCTGAGGTCCTGAAGTCCTAGTGTTTGATGTTGCTTTTGTCAAGATGCGTTCGATCTGGTTTGACAACTGTCAGGATGCCATTGACCTTTCAGCCAAGACGGGCCATTATGGCAGCTGGACCCCGGTTCAAACTGCTGGCACCCCGCCAGCCGCCCGTACCATGCACAGCGCCGTCACGGATGGCTTCGGTGGCATGTGGATCTTCGGAGGATTGCGGGTCGGTCCGAGCACATCACCGAGCGACCCAGACCAGATGAATGTTTAGGTTTTTTGTTGCACGGGCGCAAAGAGCGTCGCGGTGAACAGCAATTGGAACAACCTATACTAAGACCTGGTAGAATATGTTTCTGGTTGGTGGCCTGAGCATGACGCAGGTCCGCCCATCAAAATCTGCTTTAATCATAGCAGTAGGATGTCCATTCTGGATTCATCTCTGAAAACATGCGTCGCGTTATGCTGCACACAACGTTTGCGCGCACAGCGCCATGTTTATATCAGTGTGCAACTCACAGCAGGCGACGTCCGTTTTGAACACGGTCTGTGAAACAAGCGTTTGGTGTGCTGCAGACAACTGCTGTTCGCACAATGAAAAAGATAGCGGTGCTAGGTGCAGGCACAGGTAGAAGACCTCAGAGAAGGCGCTGGATGCCAGAAACGACCAAGTCACACGTTCACAACCAAGTGACAGACAGGAATGCGCACAGAAGAGGACGACCTTTTGTGCAGCCAATGAGCGAATCTTCGCAGCACGCTGCTCACAACTTCTTTTTGCATACCATGCAGGCAGCGCATGGTGCGCATAGAAAGTAGTCACTCAGCAACAGCTGCTGAGAAGAGGCAGCATTTGCACATATCTGCATGCGCGGGCGATGTACTGTACTGAGAGCATCTTCTGCGGAGATGTTAACCTACAGGACAAGCCAGGCACAGAGTGCAGCCCGGCTTGCAGCAATAGGATGCCTTTGCCCACAAAATGTTGCGTCAACTGCTTCCAATTCTCCAAGCACAGTCGTCGACAGTCACGCACTAAGGCTAACGTCCACCTTCATCACCTTTATTTTCGACGACAGTTACACACATTGACGACTTCCACCTTGATTTTTGACAACAGTTATTCACTTTGGCAACTTCCAATGTTGAATTTCGACAACAGCTACACACTATTGCCTCGGTTTTCAACGACAGCTACACACCGCCAACGACCTTGATGATCGACGACAGATTTGGCAACTTCCACCTTGATTTTCGACGCCAGTTACACTTTGGCCACTTCCACCACGATATTGGACGAGTCAAACATGAATTTGGAAGACAGCTACACACCTTGGCAACTCAACACGCACGATCCCCGCAAAGGGTTGACCGCGCGCAGACGCAATTTGCATGTCACTTCACGTCTGAGCGCTGGATACGCGCAATCTCCGCAAAAGGTTCACCAAGACCACCCCAAATTTGCATGTCATCTCTTGCTTGAGGGCGCTCTAGACGCATGATCTCCACAAGGGCCGTCCCAGACGATTTGCGTATTACCACAGCTTCGCGCATCCAACGCGTTCCGTGAGCATCGGCAGGGCCACCCCACTGCCTTATAAGAGAAGGTTAGAAGGATGTCGGAGTTGCGGTTGTGTGGGTGAGTTTTGTAGGTGTTTTCACCTGGGTCTCTACACCTGTATCTCTACACCTGTATCTCAAGACCTGCACCTCTACACCTGTATCCCCTCACCTGTCCCAAGACTTGCATTTCAATACCTGTGTCTCAAGACCTGTATCCAGTGCTGTATAGCAGTTGCGTCACCCGCTTCTGTGCAACTGTATGATGATGATGATGATGATGATGATGATGATGATGATGATGTAGGGGTGCTGTAGCAAACACACCAATCACCTGCATCTCTCCACTTTCATAATACCGATGGTGGTAGAGGTTGCATCACCTGCACCATGCTGCATCTCTACATTTTAGTCATTGATGATGACGATGATGAAAGTGATGATGAGGATGATGATGATGAGGAGGATGATGAGATGATGAGGAGGAGGACGGTGATGATGATGATGATGATGATGATGATGATGATGATGATGATGATGATTGTGATGACGATGTTGATGATAGTAAGACAGTTAAAGTTGGCAAACGTTTTTGCGGAGAACCCTGCAGGTGTTTTCGAGAAAAGTATTTGTCTTGGGAGTTGGATGGCACTTCCACAGACGGAAGACAGGATCATTCGTGGCAAGTCCAGGATGTAGTCCATCAGTCAATTGTTCGTTACTTCCATGCACAGACCAGCATAACCCGCAGCGGATTGGTGGAGTTTTGCAACATCGAGATCAAACATGGGACCAAAAACTGCAGTTGAGCCAAGGTGAGGCAATATTCAACGATGTGCAGTATTTTGATTTCGAGGCCAGAAGAGTAGTGATGGGGTTCACACGTCGGATGGCGATCTTTGTTGTGTGGGTTTATTTGTTTGGACTCTGGATGTTAACTGTCAACCTGGTTGGCTTGTGTCCAACTTTACATGAAGTGGAGAAAACCATCCCTTCTGGTTCTTTTGAGGACCAAAGTTGGGAGAGAAATAGGAACTGGATCGGGAACAGTTTCGATTTAGACACCATTTGCCTCCGCCTTTTCGTAGCACAAGATACCAGTGGTTCTACATATAGTACTGAAATTTGTGGTAGGTTCCATAGCCGTTCCCATCCCAATTGATGGCATTTGGGTGCAACAAGTGAGAGTTATCCGCACAATAAGCGGGCCTTGCAACAAAATCACTGACAGTTTGTATTCTTCGTGCCTGACACATGACTATGTGCGGGTTAATCTATGACACGCTATGTCAATGTGGGGTGAATAACAGCAAACAAGTTACGAAAACCCTGCAATGTTGAAAGAATCCTGAACAAAAATACTTGTCTTTAGAATCCATCCGGTATCATGAACCCTCACAGGTCAAAGTTTAGTTGGGGTCCAAATCCGTGCGAAGCGGTGAAGAAACACATGTCCATGCTTCGGGAAGCCCTCGGAGCTGGACTGGAACTCTCACCAAATATGTACCCGAACATACTCGGAATCTGTACTGGTCACCAATGGTTCGATCATGTTCGATCTCCAACAGGGCCCTTTAAACATAAGAGCGATGGCCTCCAACCTATGTGTATATAGAAACCGTTTCTATGACTGAGATTTGCTGCTTTCTCCGTCCTTTTGGACTTTTGCATCGGTTCTGTTGGACCGATGCAGTCATTGCAGGGCAAGAACTGGACCCAGATCGAGTGCGCAGGGGATTTGCCGACGAAACGCTTCGGGCACAGCGCTGTGCTGACCTCTTTGACGCTCAGGGGAGGGTAGTACTAACTAAGAAGTGCCTGTTGGACAGTTGTTTGTGTTTTTTTGGTTCACTACCGAAGTTCTTTGTAGACCACGGGGGCGCACCGCCCTGATGCCAGTCTCAGATCCGGGTGGGATGCCGGTTCTTTGCCTTGACCATCGATCTTACCACCAAGGTTGATACTGTTGAAGCGTTGGGGGAGTTGAAGAAAGAATTGAGCTAAGCTCTCACAATGCAGCAGTGGCTATTAGCTCTCCCAATAAGAGGATGTCTCTTTCAAGAGTTTTCTAGCGAATAAGATGTTGGCTTTACGTGGCAAGGGCGGACCTGCCCACTTTACAGCAGTGGTGAGACGTCCTTCTTCACTCTTGATGTTTCTACACGGACCGGGGACAAGATCCGGGGACAAGATTCAATCACCTTCAGAGTTCTTTCAGCTCTTTGCTTGCAGACTCAGCGAGCCAGGCACTGCACCATAACCCATACTTTTGAATCAGATCATGAATCAGAGAGATCGTCCAGTTGCTTGTGTTTTCGCTGAGGAAACACATGTGGATCTTCGGCGGTCAAGGTGAACCTGATAACTTTGAGGCGGGACCGAAGGGTTTTGTTTGGCCCGGGGTCCGAGTTGCCGAGAAATCGGGCTGTCCGGTGACGATCCGGTCGGCCAGGACGGTTCCATGGTCATGTTGCTTTTGGAGGTCTCCGGCTTCGACGAAGCAAGTGATTGTTTGGGAAAGAAGGAAACACAAAGAACAGGAAAGGCGTCGACTCACAAAAGGAGGACAAAGCAACCCGCTAGCAGCGCCGCTAGCTAGCAGGATAGGAATTCAAGGGCAATGATAAACGTCCTAGAATTGATAGCAAACTGGTTCGAAACACAATTAGATTGATGCTCGCAAGAGCTAAATCAGTTACGCTCTCCCAGTGCGCTAGCTCTTTAATTGAAGGTGAATACGTAGCACTTGACTTGACTCAACGGCATGAAGTGAAGGGTCCGCTCAACTGAATGTTTCAACCGCACTCATTAGCCCTTTTTAATGCATCAAAATTCTGCAGGTACGTGATTCTGGCGTCCCAGAATCACATCACGACCGAACTATCACTGTCTTCGTTGGGCAGTGAGTGATACTCGTCCACTGCCCCCTGCCTGTGTGTTGGAAAATTTCCAGTAGCTGAATTAACTTGCATGGGATGGTGTCCTTTGGTACAGGTGAAAGAACAAGGCAAACTAAAAAGGCAAAGAAAGGAAAGGTGCAAGGGGTGCGGGGGTGTGGGCAGGGCGTGAGTTGACTAAACGAGCTTAAACGCCGACCTAACAAGCCTGAAGGAAAGCCCAAGCAAACAAAAAAAGGCAAGGAATGGGAGGGGGCGGGGAGGTTTCAGGCCCGTAGGCGTGATGAAAAGTCGCAAGCGGCGCTCCCTTGACTAAACGGCCTGAATTACACCTAAAAAGCCTCTAGTCTCTAGAAAACGAAGAAAGACTTAGAGAACGAAGAGCAACAGCAGGAACGAAAGAACCGAAAAGTCCTGTGGCCTATGCATACTTAGCAGCATGGCATGTGAATACTTAGCAGTATGATGTAAGCCTTTCTGGATCTCGATCTCAGTAAGCCCTGCGGCGTACGGTCGGCGCTTTCGAGCAGAACGACCGATCGAGCAAGGTCAACGATGAAGATCACGTGCAGTCTGAAAGATCAGGGGGGTGATATTTAAGGGCATGTGCACATGCTGCGCCCCTTGCTGGGGATCACACCACAGCCAGCAGTGGGACTCTGTGGCGAAACACACTTAGATTGATGCTCGCAAGAGCTAAATCAGATATGATCTCCCAGTGCGCTAGCTCTTTAGGTGAATACGTAGCGCTTGACTTGATTCAACGGCATGAAGTGAAGGGTCCGCTCAACTGAATGTTTCAACAGCACTCATTAGCCCTTTTTAATGCATTAAAATTCTGCAGGTACGTGATTCTAGCGTCCCAGAGTCATATCACGATCGAACTATCACTGTCTTCGTTGGGCAGTGAGTGATAGTCGTCCACTGCCCCCCTGTCTGTGTGTTGGAAAAATTCCAGTCACTGAATTAACTTGCATGGGATGGTGTCCCTTGGTACAGGTGTAGACACACACTCAGGATAAAGCACATGCGGTCTGAATGTTACAGGTCCAGAAGAAGCCTCAGAAAAAGAAACCAAAAGTATGCAAACCGGTCCAACCATCGTGAAAAGTTGCAAAGTCAAAGATCGTGAAAACAGCTTGAATTGAAAGTTCCAAAGTCGCAGCTCTGAATCCAAAGTCCTTTTACTGCAAGACACTGAATGAGACAGTGTTTGCCATACGTAGGTTCAATGGGATTCAATTTGCAGGTGCGCGGGGTGGCGCCCCAATCCGCTTCACAGGGTATCCACAGCTGTCTTCGTTGGCAGAACTGTGGACTCCCTACTGCCCAATCTGCCCCGTGTTTTGAAAACAAAAGGAAAGACAGGAAAATTCTCCTCATTCCAAGGGTTAGACTTAGATATAGGGCTCCCAATACCAACGATCAGTTGCTGGATCACCGATGCATTAGCACTTTGCCTTGCTATTTAGCTCTTTAGTGCACAAAATGGAATTGGATCGGCTTGAACAATTGAAGAAGGAGACTGAATCGTCAATGCATTAGCACTTCATCTCAGTAGTCCTTTGGTGCGCAACACTGGATGAGGATACTTAGAATCACAAAGATAGTGGTAGAATTGATGCAGGTACGTCGAGAGAGCGTCCCCTCTCGGCATCCTAGTCTGAACCTGGAACTTCATTGGCTCACGCCAGGAACAGACCCGTGAGCCCCCTGCGATTAAAGCTGCGCAGGTTAAAATGCAGAGAATGCAGTGTGCTTGAATCCCCTTTGAGACAGGGGTTCCTCAAAACTCAATGCCCTAAGCTGTTGAACAAGACGTTTGGCGTGTCGACCATGCACAACCTGTTTGGCCACAGGTTGTGGTCAGATCTTTTTGTGCAATGTGCGTCGTGCGCAAGTGAATAGCCTTGGCATGTGCTACCAAAAGAAGGACTGGGAACGCCAGCACAAAACATGGAGGATACCGGCAGAAAGCATGCAAAGTCATGTTATAAAAAGGCTGTACAGTTTAGTAGGCGGTTTGTTCATTTGATAAGGTATACCGTATGTTTATCAATTCAAGCCCCGACGAGTTGCTGCGTGTGCATGTATTGTTGTTGCCCTGCTCACGGTTCTTTTTGGTAGATGGAAGTCAGATTGTTTCAATGCCAGGGCACGGCAAGGTGCGGCAATTGCCAACACCGACATGATGACTTAGGGCCACACAAATCCAGGGATATCCAGGGCAGTGTGGATATCCGAATGTGGAAGGCGTTGGCCTACTTGAACTTGGTGACCCAAAGCTGGTTTCGTGTCACGAGCAACCCGGCTGAGTTGTGTTTGGCTGATGTTTTTCTTGACTAAGTGGTCCGAATCCAATGAAAGATGGAGTCGTGGTTGGTATTGCAACCGTAACCATTAGAGTCGCAGTAGGCAAAAAGCATCATTGTATGATATTATATCAGTAATTGCATGTAATGACTGTATTTTGATACATGTGTTTGCTGTCCACACCAAAAGCGGCTGCGTGATTTAAATCTTGCTTTGCGTAGAACTTTTTGTGCGGGATGAGGGCATTCTGGGCGTTTTGGGTGCGACCAAGATGATGCCATATGCACACCCACTTGGAAGAAGGGGTGGACCCGGGGTGGGGGGGGAGACTTGGGGGCGGGAGAATGGTTCGTTTGGATGTTTGGGCACACTTAAACGCATATGTCAAGATGATAAAGTATAGATGAACTATGGTCAAATCATGCGAAGACAACTTTAGCAAAGAGGGGTAGGTTTGTCCACAAAACCCTGTAAAACCATACGGTCCACCTCAAAACCGATGAGGTCCAATTCAAAGCCGATAACGTCCATTTTTTGTTATATTGCAAAATCTTGCAAAATTTGTTTGTCTCAGAACGGAGCTCCAAGGGGTTGACAACGCTGAAGATCACCAAATGATTGAGAGTTTCAAAGCTCCAGAGCTTGCAAGTCACCTCCGCTCCGCACACACTGCAATGCTTTCAGGCAAGGGCACGGCCCCACCATCCTTGCTTGCACACGCTTCAGTCTTGGACGCGCGCGGCCGCATGTGGGTGCTGGGAGGCCAAGCCAGCCCTGATCAGGCGAATGGCAAAGTGTATCTCGGCGCAAGATTTGATTGAGTGGCCTTTTAAGGCAGTTCGAGGCAGATGACCCCCTGCGTGCTTTAGTTGCCTCTGTTGTTTCCATGTTGGTGTTGGAAGCTACACTACTAATTGATTTGGTGATTGAAGGGAACGGGTTGGGACCGTCCTGGAGCATGCTGCACAACGGAAGTCCGGGTATCCCTCTTTCACAACCTGGTTCCACTTCCCTTCCCACACATTCGCCACTCCTTCGGTTTCAACGAACCCTAAGAATCGGTCACCCTGGGGGACCCTCAACAAAGACCTGTAGAGTCGCGTCCTGGTAGCATCGGGAGCGAAGGCGTTTCAGATCCATCGATTTCGCTCAATCCACTTGATGTTGTTGTGTTCCAGTCTTTGTGTTCAGCCAGTGAGGTATTATCTCGACACTTTGCTCAACTTGCTCACCGAGCTTCGTGGCCGTGTTCTCTAAGACTCCATATTAGTGATAATCTAGTAGACATAGTTCTCAACATTGAACAACAACTTTTCCTATCTTTGTTCCAAATGTGTAGCGAACGGTTCTTCAACTCAGAGGTTGTGGGGGCACATGTCTTGCGTCACCCTGCCTTTAGGATTGGCGTTCCCAGGGTGGTGTGTTGCACACTTTTGTGTCCTAGAGCAGCGTCAAGCAAGAGTGGCACACAGTTTACTCAAGCCTTGCAAAAAGGGTGTGTGTGTGTGTGTGCATGTGTTTTTCTTTTTTCGCTCTGGCGGTGCGCTCCCCAGTCGAACACCCTTGAACACCATTATTTTGAACATCAGCCATTGCTAGCATCATCCACTTGGGCCCCGGGCCAATTCAATTGAATTCATACGGACAATCACGTGTTTTTGATGGCATGCTCAAGAAGATTGTCTAGTGGACAGTTGCAAACAGTTGTTGCACTGTCCGTCAGTAGTACTGCTAGTAGCTGCTAGTAGTACTGCTGGGCCCAACAAGCACCAATCACACATATCATATCATCATTCATCCTTTGTCATCCAAAGTTCCTGGCTGGGAAACCACCAAGAGAAGCAAAACAAACTGTTTTCCATGGAGTGTCTTCAGGACACCTCGCTTATGCAGAATACAGAATGGAAGATGCTCGAGGAGTTTGGCTCCGCGCCCCTCCCACGTATCGGCGGCCGTGCTGTCATCGAGACGAGCGGCAAGCTCTGGGGCTTCGGCGGCACGCTCGGGCCGCCTCGTGATGGTGCGCCGCGTTGGGCGGGTGGCTCTTTTGCTTTTCGTCGAGGAGTTTTTCTTTGTTCGACTCAGTTGGAATGGATGCATGTGACATGGACGTCAAACGAATCCTTTGTTTGAAAGCCCTTCAACAAAAGATCCCAAATCAATCTAAAACAAGTTTGTTTTTTTGTGGACTAGGGGCTTTGGTGGACGCGGGTGGACGGGCCTGGTGGCAGCTGCTTTTTGCCCAGGGTTCTTGGGAAGGGGCTGCAATTGAATCATGCTGCGAGTGACTCTTTGGGGTGGAGCCGCTCTTAACACAACCCGGTTTGATGCGGTCGTTCCATGTCCAATTCATTCCAATTCCAATTCTGAAAAGGCTTAGAAGCAGCTCGCCTGATAAGATTTGCAGAAACATTCATGATCCTAAGCTCGAAGCTGACCTAGCCAAAGGGCTCCACAAATCCCAAGTGCCCCACAGGCCCATCGAGTTGCATCATCCTCGAAAGGCCCCGTGTCCTAGCTGAAACGAGACTTTTTGCTGCCTTTGCCCCTTGCAGGTACCTTTCCGAAGGACCTCTATTGGTTGGATACTACTGGACCGGCGCCGACCACAGCCACGAGCACTACGACCCGACACCCGAAAGATCCCAACCCCAACAGCGGTGGCAGCACGATTCTAGCGCCGCGGCATGCACGTGTGGTGCTCAAGAAAAAGCCTGAAGGCTCAATTGTTCAAGTTCGGAACCTGCCCACGTTGTCAATAAGAATCAAAGGACCGGACAGCCCCACTTATTGTGTCTATTTGTGTCAACAAGTGGAGGCACAAGCGGATCGAAGAGGAATGATAGTGGATGAGTGAGACTCTGAGAAAGAGAGAAAGAGAGAGAGGGAGAGACAGAGAGAGAGAGAGAGAGAGAAGTGAGTTGGTGTAAGTTTGTGTGTCAAAGTATAGGGTGTGTAAGTTGGTGTGTTGGTTCGTTGAGTTGAATGTGTGTAGCGGCGGGAGGCGGACAACTGGGAGGAGAAACGGGAATTACAATGGAATCTTGGCAAAAGTAGGAACCCCACGCTAGGTTGGAGGCCAACGCTATTAGTATGCGGGGAAGAACGTTGTTAACACCACCAAATCATCCCGCTCGCCACGTTCACACACGCATGCTTTCCGTTCCCCAATGGCACGGAGCTCCACAAACACAAGGCTTGCGGCAAACACTACTAGGTTGTTGAGTTAAGTCGTATCTTTTGAGCGTTGCCTTGCGGTGGGGGGGTATGTGTTGCTTGTGATTTCTTTATGATCATGTGATTTGCCTTGTGTCAGCGTCCCAGCTCCAGATCGCGGTGGGCACTCGGACCTCAACAGCGAGCTCCAGATCCCAGTTAGCACTTCCAGACCCCAACAGCAAGCTCGAGACTTGATGCCAGAACAAGCGTCAAAACAGTGTGTCAATCCGCACGTCCGCCTTTGACAGGCTCTGTCAATACATGTACCCTGCCTTCTTTCAAATCGCCTTTCAGGGTGGGGATCATGCGAAGTAAATTCAGCTTTTCTCGAGCATGTTTGTTTTGAAAGCTTTCTTTTGTCCTGGGGGTCTCAGACGCCCTGTTTGATCGCTCACTCCATTTGGATGTTTTTGACAGGCCCCTCCATGGCTTTGTGAGGCTTGCCCTAATCAAAGTCTACAGCGTGCCCACTGTGATTTCACACATTTCAGATCAGCCACTACAGCTTCTTACAGGCACCATCATTGACTTTGAGTGTTGGTGGTGATCAAAGTTTTCCTCCGTGAGCATAGCGTAACAAATCCGCCCGCACTGAAGGTGCTGAGGCGTTGTCTCAGGTCGAGCGAACCGCTTTAATTGCTAGATAAGTCAGTAAGCTTTAGTTTGAGGGTTGTTTTATGTTCTAATATTCAAACATTTTTGATGTGTTTTAAAGCCGACGAAAAACGAGCGAATCATTGGCCATGTCAGTTTTGCTGCCCGACTGTGTGCTTGCCGCTGTGGCCTTCCCGAAAGAGAAACGAGAAAACTATTGATAATGTGAGTGTTGTTGCCCGATTTGAATTGCATCATTGAAGACGTGTACGTGATTGTATTTGCGGACTTCCCTACTGAGGCTGATTGAGTACAACACGCCTAGGGCCTAAGATAGGTACCAGCGTAGTCGATATCTAAGACGCAACGTCGGGTAATAGGGGGACGCATCAATCACCAAGTTGCTGTCGCCCTGCATCGTTCTTTCCCTGCTTAAGTATCCGTGCGGGCGGTCTTCGCCGCGAAGCGGTGTGAATACAGCTGGTTTACAAGCATCCTCATTGGTTTTTTATCACTCGAACCCGCGAAAGTTGCATCCCTTCACGTGAGTACGCCCATGCACTTCTATGTTCCCTGACTGATGTGACTTAAACATTTGTAGCGTACCGCAGCGCTAGATGCGACTTGAACTGTGAAGATGTTGTTAATTCCTCTTCTTGTAGGAGAACCTCGTATCTCTTCGAGAGCATAGCCGACCCAAAACGGAGGGAAACACAAGGGCAGGAGGCTTTCACCAAAACCTGCTTGGCATTGTTGCGCGGCGGCGCTTTGAAAAAGGCAACCTTGGACTCTTGGGCAGCAAGACGACAAGTCGTTAAGGAGGTCATGAGTGTTCCACGGTGCCGTGAAGCAGTCGGACGCTGACCCCACCGCATGAGCTTATAGTATGTGCAACCGGCCAGCGCGGATGGTTCGTTCTGCCAATCACCCGCCAGATGAAAGGGGCCTTGAGTTGATCCAGGAACCTGAGAATATCAGCATTGGCTGTGCTTTGCAGCGTTTGCCCAATACGGGTACCACCACCAAAACGGAGTCCTGACTGGTGTGGTGATGAGCTCCCTGAGGCAAACGCAGGACAGTCGAGTGCCCAAAAAGCAGATCTCATTGGAGGGCTTGTTGGAGGGCACGCTGGTCTGCGCATGGACGACCAGCTCTTTATGGTGGTTTCTCGACCTTCTGGAGGAGAGATGCTGCCATCGTCGATCTCAACCGGGGTGTTGGTTGGAGTGCCCCTTTCGTCAAGGGCGAGCCAAACTCTGATTCTCCTGCTGATCTTTGAGGGGGGCTGGAGCAGGAAAGGTCCCATCATCACACTCCCAGAAGGCGCTGTCAACTGGATGGACCGCAAGTAGCGCCCATGAAGATGGCCTTCATGTTGAAGAGGTTGGCAAGGTTCTTCTTGAGGACAAGTTTCAGCTTGGACTGGTCCATGCCCTGCAAGAGCTTTTGGACCTCTCCATCTAACGAGCCCCAGACCGTCTGCTTTTCTTCATGCCATATCTCTTGGACTCTTGCCTCTGGCTGGAGGTTGTCTTTGTGGCTGGCCAGGCCAGGTAGCGCCTTCAATCCAGTTCCTGCAGTCCGACTGCAGGGAGTGTAGGTCTTGCCTCACCCTTCACGAACTGGCCAAACAGGACCTCAAGGAAGTAGGATCACGGACAAGTAAAGAGGGGAGGCCTAGTGGGAGGCCCTTGAAGGAGTCGACAAGGTAGTCAAAGAGGGCCAAGAAGGTCTAAGAGTCTAAGACCAGGCGATCTTTGCCTGACACCGTTGACCGAGCGTGTGTTCGAAGGGGGGGATAGGCGCTGGCGGGACTTCCTCGAATGCCTGCCTGAGCAGTCGTGGCTTGAGCCATGTATATATATATATATATCATACATACACTGGGGCGCACTTAAAGATGTCAAAATGTCATTCCTGCATGCAGGAAATTCCTGCATTTAAAAATATTTGCTGCTGGGACCGCAGCTCGGAAGTACTCAATGATGAAACCAATAAAATCCCCTGAGCATCCGATATTGATTCCAAAAAAATAGTTTCCTATGAAAAAATATTGATATTGATTTGCCTTGAACATCAATATCAAAATCAATATTTTCTATTGATTTGGTTTTGGTGTTTTCTGTTGATTTTGATGTGCCATGTCCTTCCAAAATATGATGAAAATATTGATTTTGATATTGATTTTGATCTTGATTTGGGTATTGATTTTGGACACCCCTTTTCAGTTTGCAGTTTTGGCTGTGAGAGTGTGAACAAGTAGGGAACCAAGAATGTCCAGAGGTGGGGCCAGGCACAAAGCCAAGGCTTACATAGACCCATCCTTGCTGCTGCAAGTGATGGGCAACCATGGGGACTTGCTGGCTGATCTGGGATCCTATGAGAGCAGGAGCAAGCAAGGCTGTGGACCTTGCTGGATTGGTCAGGTGCCTACCCCTTGTGAAAGGGTTGTTGGGTGTGTGCCCCAGAGCAGAGGTTCCATCAGGTCCTCTGAGGCAAGCTCTTTTGAGCTTGCTCACCTCTATGCCAGAGGTGAACAAGTGCCTGAAGGCTGAGAGGCTGACCACCCTGTTTGCTCATGTGAGGCGGTTGAAGAGGGACAATGACCAAATGAGAATTTGCGCTGCAAAGCTCAGTGGTTCATCCTACACTTCCCTGCAGGAAGCCATTGGCATGGTGACCTTGCCAGAGGAGGAGGAGCCCTTGGAAAAGGGTGAGGAAGCTTCCTTGGAGAAGGGGCAAGCCTTGAAAAAGGACATTGCAATTGCTGCAAAGCTGCCCTTGCAAAAGGGAAAAGCTGCTGATGAGATTTCTGCGGATTCTCATGGTGCAGCCCTTGTCAAAGGGCATGAACCCTTGCAAAAGGAAGCAGCCCTTGATAAAGGGCATGAATCAACCCTCACAGAAGGTGTTCCTTGCAAAAGGATGGAAGCAGCCCTGGATGAAGGGCGTGAATCAATTCTTGCAAAAGGTGTTCCTTGCAAATGGATGGAAGCAGCCCTTGGCAAAGGGTGTGACCTTGAAAAAGGATACCCTTGGAAAAGGGTTCTGCACCAAGACCTTGAGAAAGGGTTTTGTTAAAGCTAGGCCTTGAAAAAGGTTTGTACATATGTACATGTATAGCTGGATATAGTGCTAGCATCTTGGAAAACTGCTGCTGCTGCTGCTGCTGCTGCTGCTGCTGCTTTTGGCTGCTTTCTGGTGTTGGTTTCTTCTCGTTGTATTGTTCTAGGGAGGTGTTGTTGTTTTTCTTCTTGGTTCATGTGTTGGGTTTTGGTTTTGTGGTGTGGGTTTGGTGTTCATGCCTTGATGCACCTGCAGCCATTTGAGCTACAAGCGGCTCAGCTGAGCCATCTTGCAGGGAACCCTGCAACATGGAGGTGGATGAAGAAGGAGATGTGGTGGAGGATTGGGAGATGTGGGATGTGGAGGAGGAGGAGTGGGAGGAGGAAGAATGGGGAGGAGGATGAGGAGGTGTCTTCAGGACCCCCCTCCTCCTCCTTGGCTCCTGCCCCCAAAAGGCATGCGCATGGGAGGGTTTGGGGGCAGGGGTCCACATCCAGGGCCAGGCAGGCAAGGAGGGCTGCACAGTTTGGCAGACTCCATCATGCTCCTGCCCTTCCTGCTCCAAAAGGGCTTGCGAAAGCCAAGCCAAAGGGCTTGCAAAAGCCAAAGCCAAAGGGCTTGCAAAAGCCACAGGGCTTGCAAAAGCCAAAGCCAAAGGTGGCAAGCAGGAAGGTGATGGCCCTGGAGACCTTGCAAAAGGGAAGAACCTTGCAAAAGGGAAGAACCTTGCAAAAGGTAAGAAGCTGGGAAAAGGTGAGAACCTGGCAAAAGATAAGAACCTTGGGAAAGGTCAGAGGCAGAGTGGGGGTGACCCCAAAGGGCTTTGAAAAGCCAAGAGGAGGAAAGGCCTTCCCCTAAGATCACTTGAGTCTAAATTTAGTCCCCGACCTAAATTTACTCTTTTTTAGTGATTTAGTCTTTAGTCCGGCTGGCAATTTAGTCCTGGGCTCCGGACTAAATCCAATTTAGTCCTGAGACTAAATAGACATTTAGCCCCGGGACTAAATCCAATTTAGTCCTCCGAGCAGGTTGAACTCACCACATATTTGCGGTTCATTTTGATGAAGTGTGATAACTGTTTAAAAGACATTTTTTGTATTTTTGTGTGGATCAATTCCCAACAGCATGATGCAGTGCCCAATGGACACTGTCAAAAGCACTGCCTGACAGTAGCATGATACGTTTTTGGACGTGTTTGCAACAGAATGGATTTCACAGAGTGACAACAAAACAGAAGAAAACATTTAAACAAGACACAAACAACAAAACAAAAACAACAAAAGCCACAGAACGAAGTGTTTGGCCGCCGCAAAAGTGTGGCAAAAGGCATTGTGGTGAATGTAACGTGGCCTTGTGGATTGGCTTTGGATTTGTGCCAAGTTCTTGCCTTCCAAAAGTTCTTTCCTTTCAGGCTCTTGCCTTTCAAGTTCTTGCCTTTCAAGTTCTTGTGTTTGTATCCAGTGTTGCGCAAAGAAATGTTCTGGTTGGACGCAAGAACACGCAAGAACAACTCCACGGAACCAAAATACCTCAGCTGGATCTCACATTTCCGCCGAAAGAGTTTACAGAGTACGGTCACGCATACTGTACATTGAGACTCGACATGGTGACCTCATCTTGACGCACGATGGTCTATCAACACGTTCAAATCTCCAGGCTTTAAGTTGGCGGTCAGATCAGCTAGGGTCAAGAACTGTGCAAGATCATTACCATCAAAAAATGAAAGGCTGAATACTACAAGATCAGCTCAGCAAGCACATAACACAAGACGGTGTACTGCATTGCAAGAACTCTGAACTCTGCATCAAATCGTTATCATCAAGAACACAAGAAAGCTGAACATTCTTCGAGATCTCTGTCCACCAGAAGAACACAACAAAGAAACATCTTGAACGTCAATCAAGTACTGTGTGCAAGATCTGCGTCATCAAGAACAGTCGAATGAGTTGTTACTCACTAGTGAGTCTGTTCTTGTTTTGTTCTTGCTTTGTTCATTTGTGCAATATATATAATATATTTGTTGTCTAGAAAAGTCGAATGAATTGTTGTTTACTAGTTAGATTGTTCTTGTTTTGTTTAGCTTTGTTCAATTGTATTGCGTATGTTGTGCTGGCTGTTCAGTTTTAACAGAGAAATTACCAATAACGATTCCTGGGAAGAAATGCGTCGCTAGAGTATTTGTTTCATCATGTGTTCACACACTTTTTTGTACATACCATAGTCTACCATGAAAGTTGTATCGCAAACCACTACATTTGTTCCAGATTTGAAAATATTTTTGATCATTTTTGACAATTTTTTACATAATTTGATGATTTTTTAGGCTATCAGCAGCACAAACTACACAGTCAACTGTGCAAAATGCACAGTTTACTGTGCACTTTGCACAGTATCAACTGTGCAAACTGCACAGTTCACTGTGCATTTTGCATAGTGAAGTTCGACACTACTGTGCAAATTGCACAGTTATAGTAGTACAACTGTGCAAACTACACAGTACAATATAAACTGCTGTGTAGTTTGCACAGTAGCCAATGAAACTACACAGTACACTGTGCACTTTTCTGAAAAGTACACAGTTGTACTGTGCAGTTCACTGTGCAAAGTGCACAGTAAACTGTGCAGTTTGCGCAGAAAATTTTTGCGTTTTCAAAAAACTCTTGTGTTTTCACTGCTTTCAACCAAAAAATGCAATATAGTTGAAACAAACAGTGTGTTTGTAATGATGATCCTTCCTGAGGGAAAGCTTTTGGCACCAGCCCTACTGAAGGTTTGCAAAAACCTTCTGGATGGCTCCAGGGAAGAGCACTTCCACATGATCACTTGCTTGCAATGCATGTGTGAAGTTGTTCAGATCTGGGATGAAGCTGGCCTCTTTCTGACCAAGTCAGAATATAAGAAGGCAAAAAGCACAGCAATGCGTGTCTGAATACCAATGGCTGGAAGCATGGTCTAAAGACAATGACAGGAAGTCATTCCACATTGTCAACAAGCACCATAGCTTCTTACATCTTGCAAAAGATGCTTGGTATATCAACCCAGATTCCACTGGCGCTTCAAGGCTGAAGATTTTGTTGGACACATTCCCACTCTCACACATAGTGTGTCAATGGGTGTCAGAGCAACAAAACTCAGCCAAAAGCTTGCACCCAAGTACAGGATTCTTTTGCACCTCCTGTACACCAGACCAGGCTTCAGGCTGGAAACCTCCACTAACCCTTGAGAAAGGGGCCTTGCAAAAGGGCCCTGCTCTGACCTTGCAAAAGGTCTTGGGTTGCAATTGAAGTACCAGCCCTTGGAAAAGGATAACCCTTGCAAAAGGTTCTCCTGGGGAAGCCTTGCAAAAGGGCATTGCTATGCCACGGCACCTTGGAAAAGGAATGTCCTTGAGAAAGGATGCATGCTTCATCCACTGCCAGGTGCATTGGCTAGCAAAAGCTTGCTTGTAAAAGCTTGCCCTTGCCAGCAATCCAGCTTGCAAAAGCTGGCCCTTGTGAAAGGATTGCTTGAAAAAGCTTGCCCTTGACAAAGGGAACTTGCTTGCAAAAGCATGCCCTTGGAAAAGGCAAGAAGAGCTTGAAAAAGCAGCAGTCTCACCCAAAGCAGCAGTTTCACCCCTGGCAATGCAGTGTGAAAAAAGGTGTGTTTGCTGGTTGGGTGGACGGGATCTGGGGCAGGTTGTGGCTATGAAAATATTGATTTTGATATTGATTTTGTCTCCTGCTTTTTGATGTTCAAACATGACCTTTGAAATCAATAGAAAATCTTGATTTTGGCCGGCTCTGAAATCAATATTTTTTATTGAAAAACATTGAAATCAATATCACTTTTCAAATCTTGATTGTAATCAATATCGGATGCTCAGGGTCAATAAATAACATTAAAACCCGAATAGAAAAGGTGGGTTAACCTGCCCATGGGACAAGGGTAAAGCAAAGGAGACCCTCATGCAGCCAAACCGGAGATCTGTCATGCAGCCAAACGGTCCTGTAGCCGTAAAGCTCATTTCTGGTTGTTAAATGAACAATCGGTCAGGCAGCCAGGCTTCACGCCCCTCTCTCTCCTACTCTCTCCTTTGATGGTGGACCATCTCCCCCAATTCGAACTTAGAATTGAAAATAATTCACCTATTCAAAAGGTTTAATACCTGCACTTAAGGAAATCACCTCAGTAGTGACAGGGCTTGGTATGCCCTCCCCTTAGTGCAGTCGGTAGCGCTACCGACTGCAGTAAACCTCCATGTGATTTCCTTAAGTGCAGGTGAAAATAATTCAGGGATGCTTAAATCAATGCAAAAACCATGCCCCATTGATTGAGAGCCATGGGCTTACTGAGGTCGGTAGCGCTACCGACCTCCCTAAGGGGGGGGTATGGCATGCCCTCCCCTTACTGCACTGATTTCCTTAAGTGCAGCTGCATTTTGAAAATAAATAGTTTCAATCAGGGTGACCAGCAAGAAAAAAACATGTCGTCCGCCGAAAGTCCAAACAGTGGTCAGAGACTTGACTTTCCACATGTTCTAGAGAATCATATCCTTGCTTGAATGTGTAGACAGAGATTCAATAACAGCACTGCTGCTGTAATTTTGTACGGATGGTACTAAAGAGCACATGCTTGTTCCATGCCCTACCAAATCACAACGGGTCCTAAAGACAGAAAGCTGTGACTTCACGGGGTGCCCTATGTTTGGGGGGTTCAAGCCAGACATCCCAGCCTTCTCCCCAACTCATAGGGAATTTAAACATGCCACAAATAAGGAAAGTCATTTTTTGACTTTGTTAAGTGCAGGGCAGTACATATGCATGTATATATGTCTATATGATATTTCTTTTGCTGATGCCTTTGGCCACTGGGGGAGTCCCGGGACTTCGGGCTTTGATATTCAAAGATGGGGAGATTGGGGCAAATGGAAGACACTGGGACAGCTACGTAGCGTGTGAGCCTGGAAGAATTCTTGCAAGAAGTGTGCATGTAGGTGTTCCGTGGTTGATTCACCACCACATTTGTTCCAATCCAAGGTGATTGTGCTGCTGCTGGTCGCTGCAGCTCTCATCGGGGGTGGAGTGTTCTTCTTCCGTCGACGTCGTGACATGAGGCTGATGCAGGACATTGGAGAGCCACGACAGGTTGAGCTGGGTGAAGCTCGCGCCTAGGGATCATGCAACGAGCATACGATCCCAGAGCAGTTTGTTTGATGGTTTGTCCATCTATTTAGTAATTACTGTAAATGTACTCTTTCTGGTGCGCAGGAATCAGGTGCCACATGTCGAGGAAAGAGGCACTGAAGAAGGTTTGAAACCCTCCACGACAGAATGCTGAGATATTATATAACCTGCTCAATGTTGCAAAGGTGTAAGGGATGCCAAAGACCTGACTCCTGCCCATTTCACACCCTATGATCCAGACAGTGCTCAAACTGTGCAGGCTGGATGGGACATCTCGTGTTGCACCCAAACCCACCATGTTTCCTTCAGAGGAAGCAATGATCCACCAAGAGCAGACAAGGGATGTTCAAAGAACCGCCAGATCAAAATGACGCTCCAACTGACCCCCACTGCTTTACATCGGAGTCCGACGGACCCAGGAGGTCATGAAATATGACCAAGAAAATGCGGCCGAGATGCTTTCGGACAAGACTATTTAAGAAAAAGAGTCCGGAGATGACTTGGCTCAGAGGATGGATTCATGGATCATGTGTCAATGGTAGAGTTGTCCTCTTGTTCGCCGCCTGCTCGTCCGACGGGTCGAACCTCCGGAGGAATCAACATCCGTTCGGGAAATCAACGCATCATGTGACTGACCAGTGAAGTCACAGGCTGTTCGCCGGCAAAAATGGAGACTGAGAGAGACCTTTGGGAGATACCTTTGGCATCCTTTGGCTTTGCTTGTGGTGCTTGGGACAACTAGGGTGGGTGATGAACCCTGAGGGTCACAAAAAATCTTATGGATTTGTACTGGATTGTGATCTTCGCCAGCAGAGAGATGTGCCCTGTCACAGGTTCCGAAACGAAGGCTCAGGCGGTGCAAACGCCAAATGTGGGGGAGGGAAGATTGTCCGAATTGTTGGTGTAGAGTTACTACAACATTCATCCCATATATGGGTGAACCTAATAGTGTTAGTGATCCCTTGCAGTGAAACTGAAAGCACTTTGTGATCCATGTAGTACAAGGATCATGTTCATGTTCTTGGCCTGCTTTTAGGACTATTAAGATGTATGGCACGTGGTGACAGTTGAAGTCCCCTTTCTTTGAGGCAAAGGCAAATTCGGTCGGCAAATGTGAGGCAACATGTTTGGTGTTGCACTTGCTGTCGCTCCAAATTCCAACTGATTCCAACAATGAAATTTTGTCAGAGTCATGCATGCTGGAAAACTTGTTTTCATTGTGAAGGCAACACCCTGAGGTCATCGGGGTAGCATGATTAGTGATTAGTTAGCACATGCACAATGTTTTTGTACTGTGTCGAAGCAGAATTGTGATGCATTCGGATGGTTGTGGTGGAACCTGATTAATTGGCTTGTGGCCACAATAGCTTTAGGCCAGCAAATGTGGAATATGGAAGTTCTATTCCATTCCCGGCACAGGCCTGGGGTCAAGTTGAAGTGCCATTTACGGTTTAGGGCTTGGAGTTTTGCACGTGGCGCACAACTAGGAGTCTTCATTTGTTGCAGGCCACAGCACGTGCGGCCAGTGTCTCAGTCTTTGATAGTTGTTCATTTGGCCTCACCTTCCTTTCAGGAACATAGTACAGGAGTATATATATAATTGGTGTGCTTCTCTTTCAGCTGTCCTTTCACCACTCGCTCTTCCAAACTTAAGAAACAATGTCCTCTGCAGCTTCTTCAAGAGCGTTATTGAGGAAGACCATGATCGCAACGAATGCAACGCTTGAATTACAGGATTCGTTTACATTAACGGTCTTTGGCATCGTTGTTTCTGAGGAACAACAGCCCCTAACAGCGTTGCACGGTGTTTGTTCGGTCTTGGTTGGTCGAGGTCTTGGTTGACACTGAGCCTCGGGTCGTGCAACAGTGCCTGGAGGTGTGAGAGGGAAGATTTGGACAATAAGGATAATAACCTAATAGCAATGGCCTCCAACCTACTAGCGATGGCATGGACAAGATCATGAATCAGAAAAAATGAATCATAGAAAAGCATTGCAAACAAAAACATGTGAAATAAATCCGCTCATATAGCCCCTTTTCAGGTGCTTCGACCGTGGCGCTATTCTCCACAGCAAGCGGTGTACCATGCTGGTGGAGCTGCCAACAACTGGGTGCCCGGCCCAGTAACTGGATTCGATCAGAGTGGATCAAACTTCTTGGCCTGGCCGTGTTTCGGCCCACATGGAAGATGGAACGAGGAAGATGATGTCCGTCAACTTGCTGAAAGACTTCTGATCGTCGCATCTGGGACTCTGAGGCTTGTGGCTACAACATCCACGGCCCAAGTTTGCAGGAAAAGGCCAGAGTTTGGGAGAAAACTGCCAGGAGGTGATGATGACCTTGCTCAATACAGACGAAGACTTGCGGAGTTGTTCCTGTGTAAACAAACAAGTTCGTTGTGAACAAAAATCTCCTGAGACAGCTGAGATCTTGTTTTTTGTTCTCCGGTTCAGCGCCGCTCGTCCGACGTTCACTCAACAGGCGTGAGTTTGCGCAGCAGGTTCTTGAGCGCGTTCAGCATGAGGTCGAGAAGTGTGACTACTTGGGCGGCTTTCTGGCGGGATTGGGCAGTGGAGAGATTCATTGGGCAGTGGGGCCAAAAAACAATAGGAAACAGGTTTGTGAGGTGAGATTTGAGACAGAGTGCCATGCTCCTTCTGAGAATCTTCAAGCTTGTTGTGGCATGTTGCAAAGCACCACACTTTGTGCCGAACCTGAGCTGTTTGGTTTGAGGTCTAGGCGGATGTCTAGCGGGTAGGCCCGGGTAGGCAGTTTTCCAGGGCCACCATGCAGAACTCGTAACTCAGCCAGCATTTTGTGCTAATTGGTTCACATCAGGTTTTAGGAGCATCTATTCTGTGTTTGCACAGGAGGCATTTGGTCCATGTCCAGCTTTTGAAGCAGTTGCTGTAGAACAAAACTCCTCGCAAACTCGCCTGTGGCAACAAAGCTTTGCCATGGAAACCACTCCATTGACGCAAGATTTGACTGCAGAGGACATGGAGGGTCCAATGATCCATGCGCCTAGCGGCCTAGCAGCGAAACCGTGTGACACAGAACCTGGACAAAGTCTCAGGGAATCACAGAACCTGGACTGCGGTGATCGGATTGGACAAGAGTTCTTTAAGTCTTCGCGAACTTCTCAGGCTCGGCAGCTTCTCTAGCGTTCCCGACCACATGTAGGTATCTCGAAGCAGATGCAGTGTGGAGTATCAAAACTTCTTGTCATGGTCCGAGAAATACACAACCACATATATATATATATATATATAGTCCTAATTATTGATGTTTAAATTGTCCAAAACGAAACTCCAGGAAGATGAGCCGAGTTCTGCGCAAAGGTCGCACTTGGCCTGGAGGCTTGGCACATTTGACTAGGTCTCCATCCGCAAATCTCCCACATTGGTGGTATTGCAACCAGTGTTTGTCAATTTGGGATCCGACTCCAGGAGATTTCGAAGGATTTTCAACACAAGTCATGAAAGTCAAGTTGAAGTCTTGAATTTTATCCTTGGGCAATGACAAGGAATACCGTGAAACAGTTGCTTCTTCCTTTTTGGAGGCTACTTGCCTTGGTGCCACTGGCGATCATTGCTGCTTTGATTTCCAGAGGCCACTCGACTCACGTCCATGTCATGGGGGAAGACCCCAACACACATTGACAAAGAGGAAAATGCCAAAAGGATCCAAAAAGGGAAGTACGTAGTTTTTTGATTTGATTGTTCTTGGCATCAGACAACATGCCCCAAGTAAGTTGCTGGAGGAAATTTGCTTTGCACTTTGTACTATATAGCCTGAAGTAGTTCGTGTGCGTCTTGGCGACTATCCGTCATTGTGCCAGTACATGCACACGGTTTGACAACAAAGGCCCTGCACCTCTTCATGCAAGACATGTGATATACAGTAGTAGCAGTAGTAGTAGGAGGTGTGAAAGTATGACATACCTTGTGAATAAGCCTGGATATTAAGTTGAACTGCTGCTGGAATGCTTGACCTGTTTGCAGGTACAACTTCTTTTACATCTGCGCTGCGGCTTCGAGGTGAAGATGTTTGCGACGGCGATATGGGCCTTGTAACGATATGTAACGATAGTATGCTCTTCGCACTTGTCACGTGGGGGGTGCTGAAATGCGGATCCAAGTGCAGAATCACATGAAATCACTGAATCAATATTCTTTGGGCTCAAGGCCTTTGCATGGCCCGGTCAGGAATACTCAAGCAATACTGGTGCGCCTCGACGATAGACTACGATAAGTACTTCCTTGTGGTTCCAACGTGTATGATCTTTTTTAGAAGGTTCGAGGAAGACCAGTGTTTGAATATGTTTGAATACCTCATATACTTCTCCAGCAATGCTTTTATGAACTCTCTTGGAAACCTCCGGAAAAGGAGTGCCCAACTGGACGAGTTCCTTGGCGAAGCGGCGAAGCCCAACAGGATGAGTTCCTTCTGTTGCAAACGTTCAGAAGCAAGAATGAAGGACGCTACGAACGGGGCGCTCCTGGCCATACTACTAGGAGCAAGAAGCTATTAGTAACAAAGGGCATCGCTACGAACGGAGCGATCGGACGCTAAGTATCAGTGAGAGGCTTTGGAGCGTACAGAGAGGCCCAGAGAGGCCATGCCACTTGGCCACTGAGTGACACGACCTGCGTCCGGTCCAAGCCCATCTCCTGAGCCCCGTTCGTAGCATCCTTTGCACCCAGTAGCGGTGCCAGGAGCCCCTAGTAGCTTCTTGTTCCTACTAGTAAGGCCAGGAGCACCGAGTACCGTCCTTGCTCCTAGTGTCCTAGTAGCGATGCCTTCCATCCAGCTTCAGCGATCGAGCAGCTCGAAAAAGAGCTCCACCCAAAGATCATTCAGAGATCCACAACTACAAAGAAGAGATCTTGCTGTTGTGCAGACATGGACAAGCCGCTTTTATCAGAGACGGGTGAGACACGTGCTGAGAACTATCTTTCTTCAAGCATGATGGTTGAATGTGCACCTGAGCTGTTGAAAGTCGATCCTGAAGGTTCGGGAAGATTCTTGCCGATCGACATGGAGGATGCTCCTTTGTGAAGATTCTTGCGTTGTGCCGACCTGGTGTCGACCCCTGTGCCGACCATGGGGTCGAACGGAAGACCCTGGTGACTCTTCGGAGCTCCGCAAGCTGCACGAGCTGTGCCTGCTTTCGGCGCATGTTTCGCTTGCAGTATGCGTAGGAAGTTCGGAGTCCACGGTTCGGGACTTTGATTACTGGACCCGATGCACAGGGAAAACATGGCAGAAAACATGCGAGGGATTGCAGTGACATCCAAAATCATCCAAATATAATTCACTTTTGACTCAAGTCCGTTGTTAAAGCAACTGTCAGAGAACTGGTGTTCATCGTGTTCATCATTTGCCGTTCCATCCTTTTCAAAAACTGAAGAGACCAATCGAAAACTGGAGTTCGCCTGGCTTTGTTTGTTCAGCCAGGTCTCTCAAAGACTCTTGGTCTTTTCGTCCCTACATCCAGCGACGAGGGCAATGGCATGTTGCCGATGAACAATCCAGATGAGTCTCAGATGCAACTTATTCAAGGCTTGCTGCAGCAAAGATGACACTGGCATACACTGGCTGGCTATTTGTTGGTGCATCTATTTGCGAGGTGTCGGCTCAAGCAAGGACGATACGACAGTTATTATACAAAAAACACCCTTTTGGCCTGTCTGAGCACCTTCTGAAGCAAAAGAGACCCAGGCATTTCTTGTGCTCAAGCTTCTATATATAGTCACTATATAGTCTCTGAGAAAGGTAAGCAGGTCAGCCATGCCATGCCGGCTGTGGGGCTTCTGGAGACACCCAGGTTCTGGGTACGACATGGAGGTGTTCCATCCTATGACCTGATTGCCAAGCCTGGAAGACCCCAAGGTCTTCGAATCAAGGGCCCCTTGCCGGCCTTGGCCCAAGAGGCCCTGCTGGAGCTGAAAGACCGCGGCTTTTTGAAAAAGAGCTTTCCACGCTTGCTGGAACTGGGGAAGAGCTTTTATTCCATCAAGTCTCGACATGGTGCATCGCTGAATGGCGTGCTCCTCAAAGACGAGATGTCAGAGACGAGTGTCTCATCCCGACGAGCGTCTCATCCAACGGTGCCGTTGGCGGAGCTGCCCAGATGCCGGAAATTGCTACATGCGGCCTTGGAGCTCTTAGGACGGGATTGGGAAGTCGATCTGGGCATAGATGGTGATGGGCAAGTGCCTCCGGTACTGGATGATGTATTGACATCGAGTTCGGACGACATGCTGAGATGTCTTGGCAAAAAGACCTTTCTAAGGGGACTATCATAGAATGCTCATGAATACTCCATCTACACATGGCAAATCAATGCAAATCATCCAAACAGTATCAAAGTCAAAGCTAAGTCTCACAGCTACAGCTTTCGCGGTATTCCCCAAAGCTCAGCTGCCCCCGTGCTGTGCACAGACAGTGTGTGACCATGGCAGGACTTGATCGATTAGCCCTCCGAGATAGCCTGGCAAATGGCATGGCGCGCCGATACAAAGCAGGTAGCAGCCTGCCAAGACATGTTGATGCTGGGCAAAAGCTTTGGACACTACACTCCACCGATCTCCACCGTCAAATGAGTCAAGTCGTGTGGTTAGTTCCAGGTTGAGGTGTATTTGTGCATGTCATGTGGAACGGATTGGAACTCGTCTGGAATGGAAAGGCGACTGGCCCAACACTGGAGGGCGATCAGGGGCCGACGTCCCACCGCTCGTCATCTTTGTTCAATAAAACATCGAGTTCTTCCATGGGAAATAACGCTATGTGACACATGTGCACAGTTTCTCCAGTAGGTATCCTTCACGTTGCTGAAGAAAAATACAACACCTACCAATTCCAGACACGCCAGAACTGTGTCATGCGAGCATGAGAAAAAGTACACCGCGTTGGCTGAGGACAACACGGAGATGTTTCAAGAGCCCATCCTCGCGTTGATCTTACAAGCCGCCCCCTCCGATGGGCTCCGCCTTTGTGGCGGCCTAAAGGATTCAGGCGATGGCTCGACACTGCTGGCGCTGGGTGGTGTGGCTGGAGAGATTTCGGCGCAGCTGCGGGTGGAGCCAGGGTTTCAAGTGCAGGAGAAGACGACGGTTGGGGGGTGAAACTACAGTGTTTGTGGTGCGGAAGTAAGGGAGGGCACGAGAAGTGTCCGCATCCCTGGTGAAACCAAAAACTTGGAATAGACATATATAGTAAAAACTGAGTTGGTCAACAGAGCGAGCATGCGACCTTCCAAGCAAAAAGCCACTGGAGGCTTGGATTCTTGCAGCGGCTTGCATGGTCGGTGGTTTGCCCTCTCCACTTGCTCCTAGTAGCGCCTTTGCTCCTAGTAGTGTGGCCAGGAGCCCCCAGTAGCGTCCTTGCTCCTAGTAGCGATGCCAGGAGCCCCATGGTAGCCATTGGAGACCCATTGGAGACGCCTGAGAATGCTCTCAGGTGTCTCCAAGTCGCTTTTTGCAACGCCTTTCGCAGGAGTGCGATGGGATGGTGATCTCTCTAGAAGGCCCTGCACGTTACGACTTCGCTCATGAAGTACCGCCAGTGTCTTCCACCCGCGTCTCATTGACCTGGCGCTGGTTCAAGGATGACTTCTTGGAGGAGTTGCGGAGAAGGGAAGCCAAGCTCAGACAGCTAGGTGCAGCCGCAGTGAAAAAGGATGAAAAAGGTTGATGCTGGTGACTTGTACTGAAACGTCTCGAACACTAGAGATTTGGGTGATTGGAGGATAGAGCGTCGATCACATGATACAATATCAACGCAGTTATCAACGCCAGAGATGACCCGACTTCGAAATGTGTTTCCTGCACTGGCTGGGTGTATCCCACTTCTTGCACTTCTTTGTGTGCAGACCGCGTGGGCGCTCAAGACCCTTGTGCCAAGGAAGAGCAGAATCCGTTTCTTCATCCAGCCTCAAAACCACCCGTGGGCACCTCAGAAACACGACATGTCCGATGCAAAGATGTTGACCTTGGAAGGCGTCTCTGGGAGTTGGATCAGGATTGTGTGGAAATGGATTCTACAGTTGAATGAGTTTGCAAAGACAGTTCTGAATCGATCTCTTTGGTACTGTAAATCTTGCGTGGGCCTTGCTTGATTCACCTTACAAGCATAGAAGGTGCCAGTAACTCAGTAGGCGTGGCGAGCCAACTGGCAACCTGGCGCTCTTCAACCCAAGAAATCTTCACCACCATGAGCAGGTCCCCAAGTTGACCCACCTGAATTGTTTGCATAAGTTGCCAGCCCTACTGTATCCCTCAATCCGTTGACAGGCTCCCCCCCACGGCTTGGCAGGACCCAGGATTTATCCCCTTGCCGGTGCTTCATCGTGGACGGGGCCTTGGTGCGAGGATTTGTAGAATCTGCCAACTGAGTTGTTTGTGTTTTGTCAAATATTGTTTCTAGTAGCGTCCGATCACTCCTAGTAGTAAGGCCAGGAGCCCCATTCGTAGCGTCCTTGTTCCTAGTAGCGATGCCAGGAGCCCCTAGTAGCTTCTATTGTAGGTGTTCCTTTTGCCATTGTATTTGTCCTGAACGCATTTGGACAATTTGGATGAGAAAGCTGTCGTCCAGTGGCCCATACGGAACAACCTGCATGTTTGGCCTTTTACAGTGCTGAGGCAGGAGATACAATTGTTAATATAGTTTGGTTATGTTTGGTTATATATGCATATGAGTCATATGAGAGGATACGAGTCCATCATGTGGCGCGACTCTCATTGGGTCTTGCAGAATCAAGCCAAGGCGATGATTGAGTGTCCTGAAGTTTGATACGAGATTCAGCTTGTCCCCTAGGTCCTAGGATATATGATGTGGGTTATTTGGGGTACCAGTGCGAGGGATTCATACAGGTTCTTATCAGTGCCCTGTTTGGCAGTTCCTGTTTGGTGCAGCGCTGGATCCGAACAAACAAGCGTTCCACACCAGTCTCAACCCGACGAACGAGGCCTCGTTCCTGTTCGAACGGGCGCGGACAGCGAGGCTACGACTGCTGGCAGCCCTGCCTTGGAGCTGGCACCTGTACCGAGTTCTGTGGACCTGGCAATGCCTGTTGCCGGAAGGCCTGGCACCACCTGGCGGCCGAGTTGGAAGCAATTGAGTCGTGTTCTGTCGTTGATGGTGTCGCAGGGGATACTGAGAACTGCTCTTTCAACTGCTCTTTCGGTTTTGAACTCGACGTGTCCTCCACTTTTGTTGGAAGGTGAGGCGACGTTCGCCAGCCCTTTTTTCTGTTCACACACCGCCGAATGGCAGCAATCCTGCAGTCCTGCAGCTGTGGCTCGAAGCCAGCTTGTTTAATAGGAAGTCTGTATGCCAATGGCTCACTTGCCATGACACACAGACCAGAAGCACTTTAAGGCTCAGGCATTGATTGACCTTGCGAACAACAGTGCTCAGTGTCTTGCACCATCCTTACTTTCTGATCTTCCTACCCATCGGCCCGTGATGAGATCATGATGCCTGGCTAATGTACCTCCTCAAAGATCACCTCGATCGGGAACATGAAGAAACTGACATCAGCTTTACTTCTTGCTGGGGCAGCTTGTCTATGAGTGTCGAAGCCATGCAAGTGCTTGAGGGGCTGTGGATAGGTCAGTTCTCTCCATTGAAAAGGGGGAAAGGACACAAACGGAATCATACGGAGTTCCAGGAAGCGGCGCTTCCTGGTTGGCTGAGCTGCCAGCTTTCCACCTCGGAGATGCCAACCTTGGGCGATGGCTCAATGGCGCTCTACCAAACCTTGGGATTATTGGTTTGAATTAGGGATGTTTTTGGATTTATATACTGTAATGAGATTTATATAGATTTATGTATTGTCCCATATGGATGAATCCCTTAGCATGGGAAATCTGTGTTGTTTTTTTTTCCAAGGATTTGTTTTGCCTGGAGCACTGGAGCCGATGCCGAGCGATCTGGCGCAAGATCTTTCGGGCAAAGAGTCGGGATGTTTATTCCAGCAGCTCCTGCAGTCGAAACCGATGCAGCTGCTCTTTCAGCTTCTGCATCAGCAACCAGTCTTGAGCTTGATCTTATCTGACTTGGGCCATTTGGTGGATGAATCCACTGGAAAACAAAGCGGTGACCTGACACTGGAGCCTTGGTACCATGAGCACTGCAAGGTCGTCCCTCAATGTCAGGAAAACTTCTCCACAGCTGTGTTGGCAGAGGAGGTGCAATGGAAGATGGTGGCCAAAGGATTGTACAGTCACTCGGCCAACCCTCTGGTTTGGGTATGGATCAGTCGTTGGGTCATGTGCGTTGGCTTTGTTGGAACCAAAACAAATAGGGACTTGGCCTCGGTGAAGATTGGTAGTGCACTGTTTTAGCCCTAAACGACATCCGTGCTTATGAATTTCTCCCCTTGGGCTGCCAACGGGCAGAGTCAAATGAAGGGAGAACAAAAACTGTAAGACTGGAGCTGCGCGGCTCTTTACTAGTCTTTTCACAAAGCTTCACTTGCAAACTCATTTGGCTAACCCCCCGACATCATGACGGAGGCCGCTGCATGGTTCTTGAAAACTCCGGCAGGTGCGCTCCAGCCCCACTTGGCGCCTCCGAAAGCAACTGAAGCGAAGGGTTCGCGGCTGGCCATTGCCGCGGTGGGCTCACACAGTGGCCTGGCGCTGGGTGTCTCCAATGCCTTGCTGGAAGCCTTGAAGGATGAAACTGAGGCAGATATTTTTGGTGGGTTTTCGTCGAGTCAAAGCCTTCTTCAAGGGCCCCAAAAAGGTCCCGCACAGCTCTTACGCCCGACAACGGCATCTTTGTCACAAAGGATATTTGGACGGACCCACAGCTCAATGGCTAGCAGTTCAAATGTTTGACTGGGATTCTGGAGATTCTTGGGCAGAATACTGCGCCACCTGGGAAGAAACAGAAGGTCCCCGTAGTTCTGGTATATATAGCTATATCTGGACGTAGCATGCTAGGTTCAAGATCCTTGGTCCATCGTTCGATTCTCCATTCTCCACTGAGCAAACAAACGCAGGTGCAGTTGTCCTACTTCGGGCATTGGGCATGGTGTCAGAACGTGGAAAACTGCCAGGACCGCAGGAGGGATGCCACACTCGCGATGCCAACACACTCGTGGCGGGGGAGTTGCAGGTCCATTGAAAGCACTGGTACGATAGGTGACTTGGAAGTGATATTCCTTGGTGTATATCTATCTATATATCTATATTGTATATAAATGTATATCTTGGAGGTTGTTCACGTGTTCACAAAGGTCAGGGTTATGTGTGTTTGTTTGGTTCGTTTTGAGACCGATGACTCGCTTGATCTTCGAGCAAGCACAAGAGGAGAAGGAGTTCGGTCTCACAATACAGCAGTGGATTTGTAGATGGTGCAGCATGATATTGGTGGTGTTCCCTCAAAAGAGTATGCAAATTCGCAAGCTATGCTCAAAAGGGCCTTGCTCCCCACTATTCTTCCCAATGATGTGTCCCCCTAGCTCAAAGTATTTAACGGGACCCACATGGAAAGGCGGAAGCTGCATTAAGGACCTAGAACTTCAAACGTGCACTTATATGTGCACCACCACCTTTTCGTATAGGTTTTCGGCATCTCGAGCGTTCTTCAGGCAAAGGCGCGTATTTTTTAGAAACGTGCACTTTTTTGTATTCGAGCGTTTTACTCTTCCCAGAGCCATCTTGCTCATAAAGCTCTGGCCTAGTTGCTGATCACGTGACCAAGTGCCCCAGATTCTCACATCAAAGTGTTCTAGTTCCCCAGCGCTATCCCTTGGCCCGGTGTGTGCTGCAGGTACACACGGTCAAAGACCTTTGTCTCATGGTCCTGGCATAAGTCGAGGCTAGCCACGGGAAAGGGATGGAAAGGGGTTTGGTTGTGGAACCATGGAACTAAAGTCATGTGAGTCAATATGCCGATTCTCATGTCATACTTTGGAGTAGCTTTCGGCACAAGTCTTTGATCAGCATCATGGACACGGCTGCGATTGTCAATGCTGTGGTGGCAGCGTGGAAAGAAGATCAGAGCCTATCTGATCTTGCGGCCACTGGCGTCATGGCACGGGTGGCTGATAAAAAACACATTGGAAGACAGGAGGTGTGCAAGAACTTGGCAGTCCTAAGTCCTGTTGTCCAGCATATGGGAAATTTGGTTGCATGACGTTGCGTGATGTTGTGTGCACACAAGTGTTTGGGAGGGGGGCGTCTACTTTCCTGTACTCAGGACTTCGGCCTTCTCTGTCTTTGCTCACTGAAGCGTCAACACTCTTTCTCAATCACTGCTGGCCTCGTGGAAGGAAAATGCCAACTCGTCAGGGACTTATGTTTCCCATGTACGTGCCATACTAGTCATGGACCATTGTTTGGGGTAGGGTCCCGGTGAAATGGCCCAGGCCAAGCCATCAAATTGGAATCCTGGCTCATTCGGTCCTTGACGTACGCCTTCAGCAGGGCTGCCTCTCGAGGACATAGACCTCGCGAACCGGAGTTCAGAACTTTGATGGAGGTCGCAGGGATTCCCATCCCTGAGTGTCGAACTGGATCTAGTTCTTTGGCATGGGATGATGTGTGTTCTGGATACCGGTACATGTTTCTCAAAGTTCTTTCAACATACGAGCCCGCGCTGAGTGCCCTTTCATCACATGTTGGACCGTGCATGTCTTGAGGCTCTTCTTTGGGTTCTGGCCTGGGTGTTGCTGATACTGA